GAAAGCGTTGCAAAACAATTTGGAAAGCTAATTTTGTCATTTAATCATTGAGAAACCAGACTGTAGACTGCAAATGAAGATTTAAGTGTACATTTGGGAGTTTGTGAAGATGCTGTTTAATTCATTTTTTTGCAGCATATGTTTCTTTCCAAGTTTTCAGTTTATTTTGTAGTGTTTGCATTAAAAATGTTATTGCAAATATTAGAATAATCTCCTTGAACCATTTTTAGAACTAATATTTTGGATATAGTCAATAATTATAGGGCATACTTTGTACAGACTTGAAAAATGGTACGCAAASAAAGACTTGTAGGCCTTTCTTAAAAAAAAAAAAAAAATTAAGACAGAAGGAACAACTAAGTATTAATGTCAAGCAGGGAGAGGGAGGACCTAACCAGTGTAATATTTTTGAACTCTTTTGGCTATTTTATTTACAAATCTTTACTGATTTTTCTCTTTGAAAGAGAAAGTTTCATTTCTTGATTTTTTTTCATGCTGCTGCCTTTCTTAATGATATGCTAATGCCTGAGTTAATTCTGTAATAATCTGAGTAAAAATGAGAGAGGAGACTGACCAGAAGACACTGATGACTTTACGGAGAAGCTAGACATTTGTGCTGGAGAAATTACTTTCACCATGTATCTTCTGAGGATAAATGGGAAAAAGATGAGTTGGTGTTTTTAACCTATTCTCATAAAAATGTCAGTAGTATATTCAAAATCTTTTTTTTTTTTTTTTTTGGTTTCACTTTGTTTAAAATTCCTTGAATGTATTGATCTCCAGTCTTTCCTTCTAACTTCCATCTTTCCTGGTTTCAAAGTTTTGCCTGTTTCCATTCCCACAAATTAGGGGGAACTTTGTTCTTCCTTAAACAAGAAACAAGACTTTAACAGATTSTCTAGCTATTGAAAAACAGATATATTTTATTCAGTTTATTAAAGGTAAATATTTGCTCTGAATCTCTTGGTGATCTGTGAAGGGCAGTAGGGGATGCCAAAYACTGACAGTGCTGGGAAAAGAGGGCCTGCAGAGACGCATTGCCTCACTGGAASAGAAAATACTCAACTTTTCCAGGTATATTTTAGACTTGAAAATATCCTGGAGTATTTCTGGCAAATTAAGAGGTTTTTTAAAGGGGTGTGGGGGGGAAATCATTAAAAACCACCAGCCTTGCATGCCGTTTGGGCAATCTGTTGATGAAATTGGACCCTGCCTAAAATGGAGTGAAATTTCCTGTAAGCCAGATGGTTTTCAAAATATTTGGTGTAGGTTTAGGATCATTGAACACTTTGGTGGTCAGCATACCATTTGTGACAAAGCAAGTTGCGAGGAGGTTGCCTCCCTCCTTGGACACATTTAAACAGCCTTTCCCATGGGGGAGCCTTAACCTGTTTGAGGAGACTTTAGGGATGAGAACACTGGTAGAGGTTGAAGAGGCTGTAGCACATCTGAGGTGGCACTTGTTGGGCATCTGATGTTTAAATAATTGAGCATGAGGGGAAAACTATGGATATGTGGTAAGGAAGGAGGGTAAGAAAGGACAACTGGGAAATTAAGAGAAAGAACGGGGGAGTGTTGACTGTGTTGACTTGCTCTTCAGCCATCTTGTGATATTGACTTTGTCTAAAATACTTTTTTTTCTGACTTGGGTTATTATTTTGAATAAGCTAAATTATACTTTTAAAATTCTATTTTCATTTCTCTCTTCCTCCATTAATTTCACAATTTTTTGTATCTTAATTTCATACTTTGTAGTTCTAGGAATATGTGAATAGTTGAAGGTGAGACAAAAGACTAATCTTTTCTTTAGATTTGTAAAGTAAGGTGAGGGGATGTTAAATTTGGTACTAATAAAATAATGTAGTATTTTAATAATGAAATATGATGATTTGACTGTGTTCAGATACTGTAGTAGGTAGGAGGCCTAGGCAATRCAACAACTTTTGCAGTTGAACCTAGCACTCTTAAAGATATCATTAGTTGTAATTAAAGCTAATTTATTTAAATTCCCATGGAAATAAGTTAATAAACTGGAAAGTTATATTGTATGTAGTTAGTTACTTTTTAGTAAAACTGAGCAAACAATGGCTTGCACAGAAAAACAAAAAAAGGAGATCTCTTGCTGATACTTKGTAAGGCTTAAATCTCGGCTCGGCTGCTCCAGTTATGAGTTAGGTCTTAAAACACAATTCTATTCTTATGCCCTGGACACTGTCTCCTGGCACTGTTTCCCTTTGGAGGGTAGGATCATAAGAGCAGTCAAGGTTGTCTGATCTGACAGAAGCTGTCCTGGCATTCCTGCGCAATGCAGGATTGGATTCTGCAGTTTATTTCTTCTCCTGACTCTTGGTGAAGTCAGTGAAGCTGCGCAAGGACTGTGGCCACTGATAAATTGGAAAATTGCTTATCAAACAGCTCCATTTGAGCAACAGAGTCATGCTAAAGAAAGGCTGATATGCCTATACCTGTAGTAATTTCTTGATGATTTCTTTTAGTTAAAGACATAAGGATATGCAAAATGAAAATATAGTCACCTCTTCACATTGTGAATGATGCCTTCCTAGTGTCTTGTGTCTGTTGGTCACAGAGGCTTTCAACCATGTTCAACATTAGCCAAATCATTTTCAGTTCAGGGTTACACATAACTATTTTTGTTATTGTTCATTGTTTTTTTTTGTTTGTCTGTTTTTTGTGATGGTGGTACAATGAAATAGCCACGGTGTGTTTTTCTGTCTGAATGTGTCTGTTGCTCACCTGAATGTATCCTGGGGTTATGCCCAAGAAGAGGCTTATAAAATGATACGTATTCTTAGTCAGAAAGTTAGCAGTAGACCACTGAACTGTGATTATTGTGGAACACTGTTTCTTGAAGTGTCTGTTTTCAGGAAGAAGGGAGGAGAAGAAAAAACACTCAAAACTGCTGAAAGCTTGTTCAGACTCTTGGATCTGTCAAGACTTTCCAGCTCCGCTTATGAAAAATCAGGGGCCTTAATCCACAAAGTATTAGCTTTGTAAAGCCCTTCTCAGTGTTTCCTTTTGTCCAGGTGACCTATGACTSTAATGATAGTTGGCTTGCTTTTTGCACAGTATTCTTCAGAATATACATTCTTTATGCTTTTATTCTGAACGATGGAAAGAAGTTTGAACATGTAACAAAGAAAGATGAAAACATGACCAAGTTTTTTATAAGAACCAGAAAAGACATAATAAGGGTTGAAGTTGCTTTGGAAACAAATGTGCAAAAAAATCCTCATGCTTCTAAAACCTGTTTCAGGCCATTAGGGTGCAGATATTTGACTTGAAATGTTTGAACTGATGATCAAGAGAAYTATATTATTTGAATATAATAGCAAATTCTGTTAGACTACCTTATAATGCAATTAAAAATGCTTTTCAACAGAGATGGGGTACAACAAGGACTCTAATTTATGCTATGAATTCCAATTCAAGTTCTGTTTTATTAAGTACAGTTCAGTTGTACAGATTGAAAAAGAAAAAGGAAGATGAGGATAGCATCTGAATTAGTATGGCCAGAACCTATTGAATTCTGCCTGCCTGGGACCAGGCAATAGTATTTTTCAGCTTACAAAAGAGAAAACAACAAAAAAGTCAGAATTTCTTTGACATGAAGACATCAAAAAAAAAAAMCACTGTTCTTAATGTTAAAATTCGTAATGTTAACTTTATACCTYGAATACTAACTGGTATTGGAGACCAAATGCTTCCATAAGGGCTGTAGTATCCAGTAGGCAACTGTTCAGGCAGACATTGCTTTTATCATCCTTGCTGCTCTGTTATGTGCAAGAGGAGAAAGGTTAGCAGAGTTATGTACTTTTACAATGTTCCGTTGCAGGAAAACTGAGATGTTTTTAGTATATTTGATACTTCTGTATCTAAATCTAAAATGATTTGATGGAAAATTACAAGTGTATACTTAAGTCTGTCGTCGTCTTTTTTCCTCAACAAACATACTATGGAGAATTCTTTATTTGATACTGAGTGGTTATCTGCCGCRTTATTTTCATCAATGTCATGCGCTGGTGCTGACTTATGTATATGAATTAGTTTTKTTAACAAGTTGTTAGAGATCAAGGCCTAGAGATGGATAAGATTTAAATGTTTCAGTCCAAAGCTTAAAGTCCACTTTGCCTTTTTATTTTGAAGGAAGAATATAAATAAAAGAAGCTAGTGCTTTTAGGACTCATGCTKCCATTTCCTCTTCATCTAATTTTATTGGGAAGGATCCTTAACATTGGATGCAGAGATAATGTTCATGCTTGTGGATGCTGAGATCTTGATTCTTTTGTGTGTGCATGTGCATGACTTGTAARCATCATAAGGAAGGCTTAAGAATGACCCATTTCCAGAGTAATTGTAACTTAAATTTGGGGCTGCRCTCCAGAGATCTAGATCATGCCTTAGGTGCAGTTCTTTCCTATGCACTCTTAAGTGAATTTAACTACTCCTCTCCTAAAAAAGTACTTGATGTATTGTTTTAATTTATTTATTTTTGTACAGTACAAGATAAGGTGCTCTCCCTTCGAGAATTTAAAGCAGAGTAAACCTTTTTTGACACAGTTTGCCAAAACATATTAATATGTGGCAAAATAAGAGCAAGGTGGGGTGGTAATGGGCAAATGTTGCTAGGGAAGTAGGTTACACTTTCTACCCAGCTGTCAAGGGATGCAAATTAATGAGCAGCTGAAGATCTCCCTCCCACATTGGCCAAAAGCTTGTCCAGCTGGAGCTGTTGGAAAGGCAGTGGTTGCTTTAGTCCCTATTGCCTTTCATAAAGGTGAATTACAGAAGTTGGATACATGTGTGGTTTAAGTATTTGCGTGACAGGAGAGGTGGTAATAATGCTTACATAGAGKAAGGCTGCCAAGCAAAAATTGTCAGTTCTGTGAAGTGCTGGCCTTTAAGAGATAGAATAGAGAGTTGTAGTACCAACTGTTGATAAGAACCAGCCTCTGTCAGAAGTCAAAAGATTTTGCTTTGTAGGTTTTTAGAATTTTTTGTTTATTATTTTGGAGATAATTTGGAGATGATTTTGGACTTCTGTTAGCAGAGCAGGTTTTCTATGCTTGGAAAACGAAACCAGACTGTGCTAAGAAAGCTATCAGCACTTCTGCCTTTACTCAATTCCATGGTAAACTATTT